GCAGATATGTACCATCCTAGACTGCATCTTACTTAACATCAGGTGCGATTGCGGTCAAATACCAGCCTTGTCTTGAATAAAAAAAAATTTGGGACGGACACTGGTTTAAAATGTCATTTTCATACTAAATGTCAATTTAAACTAGAGTTCAACTAGAGTTTATCTTTTTATAATGGCCGCAGTTTGGAGTGTGGACGCAATGTATACGACTACATTTTAAATAGCAGCATTTGTAAAGATCAAAGGAATTTTAAAATCATCCGTACCACCGTAAAGGGGACACATCTTGACAGCATTCGAAATAAATGCAAATTGAAGAGGAGTTGGCAGTTCCGAGCGTCTGCGCGTAGGGCGCTAGCTGTTTGTTTATCACCATTAGGTTTGCACTCCCCCCACTAAACAAATATACATAGGACATACAGTCTGAGGGAATTTCGAGGAAGTCGTAGGCTAATCTAAATCTATTCATAAATGTTCTGGCTTCTACTTCAGCTGATACATGCTGATTGGTTTCATATTTGTTCTAAGAACAATATACTTTTTTTACTTATAATCCTTGGGGGAGGCCTTTGTCCAGCTGTGGACGTCTTTCAGCTGAAACGAACGAACGAACTTATCTGCAGTTATTTTATGTTATGAGCCAAATGATTATATTTTCTTCTTCTTAAATTCATCATTGAACGACTAGCCAATGCGATGCGATTATGAATATGGAAAAGAATTGCATTTTGACTTTTTAATATCAATTGAGTCCCGAAATAGAGTTTATAATTATTCATATTTATTACATGAACGTGAAAGCTACTGAGAATTTACTTCAATATGATTTTTGGCACGAAAACATTCTAATTCTTCTTCTGTGCCCCAGACCTCTTCGCCCTAATGTTTGCGAGCGATGTAATCAGCATAATGGTTCATCATTATCTCTTGTTGCCAACATTTCAAATTGTACGTCCTACTGTGAGAGTTGGCAAATTATTTTGATGGCGCTGTGTAGATAATAATAACTTTGAATGGCCTAATAACAAATCCCCATGTTCCAGGAATTTATAATCCTTAGTAAATTACCAAATGTTGCTGTTCCTTTTCCAATAATACTTACCATGCCTACTCATAATGTTTCAAGTATTTTGTTATTTCTTAAATCATTTGTTTTTTTTAAACGAGCTGTTGTGACCGCCTCATTAGCCGCGCCACACTGGCTACCAAGAAAATGTATTCTTTTTTATCGACGACCAATATCGTTATTCTTTTGTTTTTTCTCTCTCCCCCGCGAATTTTCACGCATGCTTTTCCACGTCTCCTTTAAGAGCCATTTCACAAAAAAGTTCCGCGCGAATTTAGGTAAAAGCTGTCAACGCAACGTCAAAAGAGTAAAAAGAACGCTGAAATGGACAAAAAAATCTTGAGCCGTGACCGTATTAAGACTTGATTTAAGTTATTAATTTTAAGGTAGAATGAGGTATTCAAACTTGATTAATTAATTTAAATTTTAAATAGAGTTTATTAAGTCTTTTATATTTCGATTCATAATGAAACACGAATAGGTATAATATGTAAAATATATATTAAGTACAAAATAAAGACAGTCACATAGTGAAAAATAAATCTGCCCCCTTACAGCTCCATCATCGGACCCTGGATACGAATAATGAAACACGAATAGGTATAATATGTAAAATATATTAAGTACAAAATAAAGACAGTCACATAGTGAAAAAAAAAATCTGCCCCCTTACAGCTCCATCATCGGACCCTGGATACGAAATATTCGTCAAGGCGAATCACACAAGCCTTAACTCCATAGGGTTCTATTGTTTTGTTACGGAGGTGGCCATTGCATCTTCTCCAGATCCATTATCAGACAGAGCTAAGAAATAAATAAATAAATATTATTATAAGTAAACAAATAACTAAAATAATTCATCTTACTATCTTACTTTTTACTAGTCTTACTAATATTATAAATACGAAAGTTTGTGTGGATGTCTGGATGTTTGTTACACTTTCACGCAAAAACTACTGAACAGATTTTGATGAAACTTTACAGTACAGTACAGCAGTACTAGGCAGTCTGTGTTCAACTATCACTCGGGTCGGACGTTCCTATCGCAAGACCTTTGGTTCACTCAGTTCCGATACGACTCTAGTGCTGTGTGTAATTATTTTCGTGAATACACTGAGTTTATTAATTTCTACGAGTGGATTTCATTTTGCCTGAGACCTACGCCATGAACCCTGAACCAGAAGACCCTGTCGCCAGCGACAGCGACGCTCATCCATCCCTGGCGTCGACCAGAATTACAATGTATAGGCTATAATTTATGACGATCTGTGACAAACTAAATTTCAAGCGGGTGAAGCCGCGGGCAATACTACATATTTCATACTAGCTTTTTGCCCGCGACTTCTTCTGCGATGAAGTGGAAAATGGTTCTAATAGAATTAAAATATTCTAAGAAAATTAATTTTGTTAAATGATTATATTTTTTGATATAAAATCTACACATCATTATGTTTAAATATTTGAATACTTACAAAATTATGAGATCTTTCTAAAACAAAATTAAAACACTACACCTGCCGCAGATTTCTTTGTAAACAATGTTTTTTTGTTTTTCCTTCAGGTGCTAAAATCACCAGGCTATTGTGTGCGCATACTCTGGAGTATTCCACATACAACTGGTCGTCGGAGAAGCATAGATTTCCATTAAGTCTACTCCCGCTACCATATGGAACTCCGCTAAAACTCGTGAGGGCGCCAACACTTGCTTTTGTATCGAAAATTAGTATGAGCAGCTGCGCACGCGGTTGCCCGTTGCAGGCTCTATGCAACCACACTATTTTAAACCGTGGTCCCTAAGCATGAGATGGGAAACTGCACTCTCTTGAATTCTCTTGAATTTGATGGTGTTAGGGGAATCCTAGGAATGAATACAGACTTTCCAATGGAATCTCCTCATCAATATTGCGAAATTGCGAGTTGCAATGCAATGTTACGTTTTCACTTGTTATTTTATTGTAATCTGACCTTGATTTTTCAAACACGTGTCAAAATAAAAAAAATAATTTAAATCAAAAGTACTAAGGAATATTTCATTGATATCAACTTAGAAACAAGCACAGATCACAGAAACTAAAGGGAAATGTGACAAGGGACAAATTGGAACATATTGCTTGTGAAAGCAATGATGACAGTAGCGACGTCATTATGTAAACAGTTTATATTGCTTGCATAGTACTAAAGATTATTCGAACGTTGAATACTGATACCGCAATGGATAATGAGCACATAATTTGATTTCTTTGTGTGTGTGAATTTCTAATACGACACTGAGTTTCGAACTCAGCGCATTACTTAGCATCTCTCTATATTTCTATGGAACCAAGTTATCTCCAAAATAACATTCCACACCTTTTTAACCTAGTCAGGTAATAATTTTAATAAAATACGAAGCACGTCATCTATCAATAGGATATATGTATATTTTAGAAGTTAATAAATTATGCATAAAATATAAACACTTTAGAAGTTTAGTTAAATCGTAGAATTTCTGAAAAACAAGTACTAAAATCGTACTGAAAAAAAAAGTATTAACATGTTATCTAATTTATTTATTAAACGTCGAATTTTATCAAAGATTTTGGACTAAAGATTTTGAAAATATTTTACAGCCTACATAGAAAAAAATTAGGATTCTAAATCGTGAAAGAAATTTTTTTCGGAGCCTATTGCCTCCAAACAAACAAACAAACAATTAAATCTTTCCTCTTTTATTAGTATAGATTTAACAACAAAACAAAACGCTTCTTTTTCTTCTTCACGAAACAAAACTCAAAGCGGATAAATAAATAAACAAATCTTTGGACAATTTCACAGCGCCATCTAGTCCAAAAGTAGGCAACCAATATGCTTGTGTTAAGGGTGCTATCATAATGGATATACTTTTTTTTATAATTTATTTATTAAATTAAATACATGGTACCTACATATTATACATAGTTACACCCAGATCCGTCAATGAAATTAAAATTCATCATTTCAATTTCTGCTCGGCCGGCCGACTCGAAACAGCCTCTCGGCATAGTATCAAATGTATTTGGTCGCCGTACAAATCACCGCTTTACGACACGAACGCACGTAAACGTCACGGCGGGAAAAATGACACAGGTCCTGCCTTGACGGGCGCTCGCGCCATACTAATCGATGTCGGCTTGCGCATTGTAATTTATACTGATATTCACATCAATATTTTGACAAAGTGGTTACTAATATTTAAACAATAACTGTAGAAATTAATTCTACAATGAATATTCTTTATTTTGGGATACTTTTATTGCAGTTTATGCTGTGTTTTTAAACCAAAAACCACGATCAAAATGTGACGTTAATCTTCAAATTTGCCAAATTATTTTTAGATTTTACTCAATAATGGTAATGAAATTCAAGAATCTATTTCATTAATGAACTACAAGAATATATGTCCGATGATTACTATATATTTTTAAGTTTATTATATGAGCAGAAATAATAGATACAGGACTTTGAAAATGAGTCTGCGGCAATTTTTTCGTAAAATGGTTGTGGGAGATGGGGCACTGTGAATTAAGCAAAAGAGTTTTAGTAAATCCGTTTTATTAATGATCAACATTAAGGATTGACCTATCTTTCGCAGTTATTAAATAATCTCTGGGTGTTGCTTAAGATAGTAATTCATGCTTCCAAAATCTTAGAAATTCGCACGAAAATGTAAAATGGCTCTTAAGAAAATAATTGTTGTAAATAATATTATGAAACTCACAAAATAAATACAATACAAATACATAAAATTTAAGCCTATCGACACACTACACGAGCAATAAAAGCTGTTCGTACCGCGACAAGAGGCAAGCGACCGAGACAGGAGGCCGCGATCGATGCTATAGTTGCTAGTAAACCCTGAGGTAGATTGATTTGATTTAAAAAAATATATTAACTTAGTGTGTTTTGTTGTCCACAGACGTAATAGACGCTGTTCGTCTCCCACCGGCACAAGACTGACTCTGTGATAAGCGCGCGCACCCGGACAATAAGGCACACATATATGGGGACGCCTGCACCTTTATAGACGCACTAATCTAAAGTAAGTTCCATATTATCTATTATTTGTAAACTACAGTTAAGTCACACAATATCCCCTTGGCAACATACATGAAATATTTAGACGAAAAAGGTTCTCAACGGCAACACTTCATTGTTTTTGTTACCTATACAGGGTGGAAACGATTAGTGATCTCACTCGGTTATTTCTGAACTGTACAAGATATCGTAAAAATGTTTACTGATCTTGAAAGTGCTTAACGAGCTCTATGCTACGGTATCAATAATAGGTTACACAATAAACTGGAATAATCCGAAAATTCAATGTTTCCATAATGTGTTACTTAACTTGGAATGACTGTAGTGTAACTTTTCCCGGGACTACTTAACTCTTTCTTTTAAAGTCTTTCTTTTAAATGGTAGTAATTCGTTATTCTTTTTATCCCATGTCGTACTATGATGGGTGAACGAGCTAACAGTCAGTAGAAAAAACATCAATAGGCAATACTTACTATAAAAAATTACCAAAAGAAAAAAGCAATCGTTCATTTCGAAAGGTATTGGAATAGCAATATTTCTTCCAGCACAAAGAACAACCGAAGTGCATAACAGCAATAAAAACTTGGGCAGCTGTGCCGGCGACATATTCCCTCAATAAGCACCCCTTTATGGAAGATATTGTAAATTTCCAGACGCAACTTTCTCCATTGGAGTTGTGAACAATATTTAGCATGTAAACTCCGCATTTCGTATGGGAGATATAACTTTATTTAACTCTTCTTGCCATATTCATATACATGTTGCTAGAATAATAATAAGTGGTTTATTAATGTGTCCGTAAGCCTGGAGAATACTTGTACAGAAAATTCATTAACATTATCCTGGACTTAAGCCGATGGACTTTGACCAATGCAAGCCACTCTGGGTAGACTACCTTTTTCCAAAACTGGAATTCAGAAGTTGCAGTGCTCATTACGAGAAGTAGGACTATTCCCGTAGTTTGAAAAGGCTCAAAATGTGTTACATCACTTGATAGATGGGGAAAATGTTACACAAATTACTAATAGTCACCTTAACCCCTTGCACTAAGCTAAATATGCTTGTGTTACGAGTGGGTTCACCTTCACCACAATAGTCGAACGGCGGCGGGGTTCGAATCCGCGTTCCTCGGATGTTGAGTCGGCCAGTCCGACACTTTCCTCGTTCAGCTATAGTTCCGTAGAATCTTGACCTTCACTGGTTGGCTTTTAATTGACGGTGAAAAACTGTTGATTCTGACTACACAGGATTTGCTACGGTGGGAACAAGAGGTGGAAATAATCCCGTTATAGTTCCGTAGTTTCTAAGGCCGTATACAGAAAGAAAGCTGGAAACTTATAAGCGCTTACCAGCGCTTGTCAGCGCTGGTCCGTTCGTTCACAAAGGAAGCAAGTTGAATGGCATTTTATAAGGCAGCGTCGAGCGCTGACCAGTGCGTGTTGAAACTTGTCGGCGCCGTTCAGTGCTTATCGGCGCGCGTTCATATATTTTCTTAGTAAGCGCTTATAAGTTTCCAGCTTTTCTTCCCCTTTCTGTATACGGCCTAAAGAATCTTAGTATTAAAGTGCCCCCACTTGTTCCAGCTAGGGGTGGTCGATGCCCCACGCGGCACCAGTCACCGCCATGTCGGCCCCGCCGCGCCACCCTCACTTCTACACCGTCGAGGTCGGCGACACACGCTTCACCATCCTCAAGCGCTACCAGAACCTCAAGCCCATCGGCTCAGGCGCTCAGGGTATCGTGTGGTGAGTACCAACTAGTTTAAGAAACTGATGATACTTTATGCCAAGACCATCTACTCTGGCGCTCAGGGTATCGTGTGGTGAGTACCAACTTGTTGGGCAAACTTTATCATACTATTATGGATACTGATGCATGGCGTCCATATTATATGAGTCTGGCTGTGCCACTAAATGCAACGATTGCTACAAGCTCATTTAATGGTGAGTGGTATACTTCCTAGATGTGTATTTACTAGTTGCAAATGCTGCTCTGACTCCAAGCTCGATGAGTATGAAGATGATGATGATGATGTCTAAACGCTATCCTATAAACTGCTACCTGATACCAAAGGATATACTGCACAGTCAAATTCTGTTCTGAGAAAATGATTGAATGAATAACTCTTACAGCAGCGGTCTGTTCGGGTCTTACAGACATTGCTATAACAGTCGATTCATTTATTTCTTTGCAATAGCTATTTTTGATTATGTTTTTATGACCACACTTTGTGATGACGCTAGTCGTTCCTTTTTACTAGGATGCCTATGAAAGTCATCGGGTTTACAAATTATTTAATATCAAATTAAAACGACTAAATATCATTACCATCCTGGCAACTTTCCTAGGCATCTTAGAAGTTCATTTAGTTATGTACTGTAATACTTATATTTCGCAAGTTCTTTTCTCTGCACACAGCACGCAACTCCTTGCACGATGCACCATTTCACCGTAGATGATTTCGACCTTCGATTTGATGCACGCGCCTTCTATTTTACTTTATTTCTTTATCAATTACATTAGTATAGTATCGGATGATATTTTATCTTGTCTCCTCGGCACTTAGTAAACCCATCTCATATAAATTAATGTAACAATATTCATCCTTATCACACAGACACGTAACGCGGTGTCCTAACGAGTTTGTGTTGTTAATCTATCTCCATTTACTAAGGCTTAGGAGGACACACTAATGATTCGTCTTATTAATACAAATCATGAATCATAACTTCATGTACAACTACACATTCTTGTTGGAAAACTGTACCTATTCCATAATATTGCAATAGTTTTTACGTTTAGTTTGATGTATCGTCATGCGTTTACTGTGTAACATAAACGCACGACGCACACTGGCGTTTTTGTAACCGCGCGCGGACATTTTCAGCGCGTAATCGCCACGTACTTTTACAGCGGGCTGTCTACGGTCTTTTCTTCTACAACCATCACAATAAAACATTACACGACGCTAACAAATGGATCTCGCTAGTCTCCCGGCAGTAATGTGTTTCTGTTGTAGCTGAAGTCCGCCATGGTTCAGTTTTACACGGTCGCGCTCGGCGACGTGGTGTTCACGGTGCCGGCGCGGTACACCGAGCTCGTGCCTCGAGGCACGGGCGCGCAGGGCGTCGTATGGTAAGCTCAAGCGCGCGACGCTGATTTCAAAGTTTTGAACGATTGCGCGTGGTGTTGTTGTTCTTAATGATACACAAAATTAACGATGACTAATGATATGGCTATTTGAAAAAGGGAACCATAAAACATAGCCCAATATTAATCTGTAATTGTATGATTTAACAATTTATGCCTATTGCAAACGATAGAGAAACTCAGAAAATATGGTGTTGAATTTATTTTGTTAAGTAATTTAATCTAGTATAGTCTCATCTACCTAAAAACTGTTGGAAATCATGAGTTAATAACATAATTCCATACGCTCATTTTTAAATTCATTTTATATTAGTTTCATTTATGGTATTATAAATCTGCCCGCGTAATCGAACTTAGAACTTTGAAATCAGCCCAAAAATGCACATTTATTCCATTTCAATAGCCAATAAATTTTAAGGAATGGGATAAATGTGTTCAGCGTTCACTGGCGCGGTTGGCCGCACGTGCGTTTTTCAAACCGCGCGGTTAGCCGCCTGGTGTCGCTAGCGTGCGCGCGTTCTGTGTTGATACGTGGGGACGCGTAATGTTTCAAGCAAGTGGTATATCTGACTAGATTTGATGGCATAAACTGTGTTAATATAAAAATCATAGACAACAGGGATAGCTAAGGTCGGGCCAAAATAAATTAAAAATACTAAAGCCCGATCTGTGAGCACGTAGAATTTTGTCCAATGACCCCAAGGTATAGTCTGGTCTGTGAGCATGTAGAATTTTGTCCAATAACCCCAAGCTACCCATCCTTATCGCTCGCGCGTAATTATATTGCTGTCGCGACTCTGCGACGGGCGCCCGCAGTGAGTGTGCGAGCGCGACAGCAACATAGTTACGCGCGAGCGATAAAGATGGGTAGCTTGGGGTCATTGGACAAAATTCTACGTGCTCACAGACCAGACTAAAGTTAAGCTTCAAAACTCAAAGTTCAGTAGGATTATTATAAAGTTAGGATATGTCACTTGCAAATAAATGTGTCGTCCTAATGAAAATGCCCTGAAACGAGTCGAGGGTAGGTAACGTTCTAACATTCACTAATTCATTAATCTTTGTATTATCTTTTATTATGTCAGTGTTAACTTTCCGTCTCAGATTTTGTTATTTTCTACGAATAATTTGATTAAAATTAAGTGTTTCTTTCTCTATTTTTTGTCTTTTTGTCTTTTTGAATTATTTAACTATTGGATTTTGGTGTTAGTGTTCATGTGACATTATTTGCGTGGTGATGGTTGTGACTAACATTTGTCTGTGTGCAGTTAATTTTGTTAACCTACTGATGGATACTACATACTCGTAGAACCAGCGATTACTAAAGTTACTGTAGAACTAAAATATCTAAGCATTTAGGTATACATTTGTCAAAAAGCTTGAACTCATAATAATCTTTTGACAATTAATGTAGCAAAAATTCCTTTTGTGTCCTACTTCTACTGTTTATTAATAAATAAATAGGTACTTACCCAGTGTTTTTTTACATTTCCTAGTTAGATATTTTAGTTCTCCGTGCTTAAAGATTTGCATGTGCATCTTGTTGAGTGCTTTCTAAGCTTGCTTGGCTTTAGCACTTCTTTACGGGCTTTTTACAGGCACTTACAGGTTTATGACTCGTTTACTTGTTTATCGCTTGTTTTATAATGTTTGTCTGAACACCTTTTTTGCACGTCGCTGATTATATTTCGAAATAATGTAGTTTACTTTACCTAAATTATGTACTTTTTTAAGTCAAACTATTGTTATTAAGTAGTGTTTAGGGTAGGTTTACCAGTGAGCCAGTGATATATTATGTGAATAATAAAATTCTTATTCCAGGCATCTTGGTAGATTTAACTAGTAAATTAAACTAATTGCATGTCAACTTTCCAAGCGGACTATTTCAACAAAATGTTTCTCCTGGTAATCGAAACAGACTTCCAGTAACATTGTTCTTCTAGATATTTCTAGTTTTTCGAGTCATTAAAATTCCTTATATCGGTCGTTGTCAAAGCCTTGTTTTCCCCATGGATGGTGCTAATAATGTGTTTGTTTCCTTCCAGCGCCGCATACGACACAGTAACACAACAGAATGTCGCGATCAAGAAGCTATCGCGGCCCTTCCAAAACGTCACGCACGCCAAGCGGGCCTACCGCGAGTTCAAACTCATGAAACTTGTCAACCATAAAAATGTAAGTGATAATTTTAACGCCCGCATTCACAAACATTACTATGATGTCTCACAGTGCGCGTGGACGCACAGGTTGACACACGAACCAATCACAGAGCCCTATTCAACGCTGTGCGTTAGATTTGCTGCTTCACTTAAGCAAGCATCGTTTGTAAATACGGGCGTAATTCAACTTCTATAGTTTTTAGATCCTTTACAAACGCAACTCGTAGAATGAGATATCAATGCTGGTAAAAGCTGTGTGAGATGTCCACCTACAAGGGAGTTAGATGACCTGGTAAAGGTTGCAAAAAGCTGCTGCTTGCAGGCTTCCAATCGGGAAATCTCATTAAAGTATGCCTGTGTTCAGCAGTGAACAGTCGATGACTGAAATTATGATAATGAGGCCTTTTTAGGGCACTTACGAGTATACACATCCTAAATATACAGTGTCCCGGACACAGTGTAGATGCCTTTTTACTCGCTAAATATTGCAAGATTTTATGGTATCTTCATTAAGTTAAAACAAATTCCCAAGAATGAACTGCCTACCTTTGCGTGTTGCCTATTACAATAAACAGAGTAAAGAATATTTGCTTTACTGTTCCACACACCGCGCCCTAGCACTAAAGTATAATTGGGAAACAAACTTGCCCCCATAAAGGCACGGGAAACCGCCTACAATCCTTGCTGCTTTCTTTGCTAACCTTTAAGCAAATTGGGTATAACAACGCTCCATCACCCTTAGCTGTACTTGTTAAAAGACTCAGCAGAACAAATACTGTGTAAGAATCGACACAAGAGTACCTACTAAATTACTTTTTTTGTATTTTGAGATATGCCTTTATTAATCTCCAGTCCTCCACGACTTTAATAATAGCTTTTTTAAGGTATCTTCGCTCGTGTAGGTTGATGAGATACAAAAAATAACTTCTTAAATTCCACAGATATTTTTTATGAAGAAAATATTTAATCCACGCTTATTTTCGTAAGTAATTACCACCTACGCTCTCCTTAAAATGTCCAGATATTTTTGTAAGAAAATGTAATGGATTAAAAACATTTTCATCACATTGTCTATTAAAATACCGTCTCGTAGAGACTCAGGAACAGGGCACATAATCTCAAAATCCACTTTTAATCGCGAGCCGTGAAGAACGAGCCGAAAGAAGCGCGGATTAATTAACTTAGCGCTACGGAACTTTTTATCCTTGTTGATCCTTATCGCAATTAACGTAAAAGAAGTAGGCTCTCTGAACAATGATCAGTCGATCATTAACAGATAACTATAAAATCTTTTATTAAGGCTGAGTTACACCATCTTACTTTAACATTGATAAACGTCAAAAATCTGTCAAACTCCATACAAAAAGCACCGGTTATCGTTATAGTTACCGTTCAAGTTAGGTGGTGAAACTCGGGTCCATATTCGGTTGCATAAAAAATATTGTCATAATTTAAGAGTGCATAAAGTTTTTTGGCATACTCATCATTTCGCATAACGTTCATACAGAATAATTCATAAGGCATATTTTTTTTGCCATAACCACTTTTATTATAATAATATTTTAGTATATATTTTTTCTGTATACTCGTTTTTTTAATAACGATTTCTAGGCATAACATTTATTGGCATCTAAACCAATGCCATAAATATTATCATTCATAATATACAAAATACCATAATTTTAACAAATATGAAATATAAAAATGTTATAAGTTAACAAATATAAATAGACAAGCAAGCATGCAAACAAGCATGCAAGCAAGCAGCAAGCATGCAATCAAACAGCAAGCATGCAAGCAAGCTGCAAGGAAGCATGTAAGCAAGCAGCAAGCAAGCAGCAAGCAAGCAGCAAGCAAGCAAGCATGCAAGCAAGCAGCAAGCACGCAAGCATGCAAGCAAGCAGCAAGCAAGCATGCAAGCAAGCATTAGGATTGCCTTATCTCCGGCGCTGCGGGAAGTGCGGTCCTTCCGCTCTGGCGTAACATATACCCGGCATGCCATATATGTTACAGCGAGCGAGGACCGCACTCCCTCCGCGCCTCCGGCTTTTAAATTACACTCTAGTATAGGGCAGACTAGTACCACGTGGAAGAGACCACGGCCAGTCGGGATCAACATAATTTCAGACCAGGCAAGCTTAATGTTGTAAAAGAAATGTGGACTGTATAATATGTGCGTTATAATAGATAAGAGGGATTCAAGATCAAACAGAATGTAGTTTCACGAGCTTAAGTTTTCTAAGAAACAGGTCAAAAATTAAGAACAAAAATGACAATGATACAGAGAATTTAGTTTTTGCAAATCTATAGGCCGAAAGAGTATAAAGGTGGAAGGAGGATCGTTCGCAACATCACAAATACATAATTATTTACTCTTCAATGTTGGTTGCTCTTATAGACAATATTTATGACTTTAAATGTTATAAATAATTAAATTATGTTTATAGTATTTTATTAAAAACAAACTTTATGTACCTATATAAAAATTATGTTCTTTACATTTATGATTATTTAAATTATGGTATTGAAAATTAGAGAAAGTTATTATTGTGCCTAAGAAACCATTATGCATTTAGAAAACTATGCATATCAAAGTTTATGCGAAAAAACTTTATGCAAATACTGTTATACCAAACTAAATTATGATGAAAAATGTTATGCGTCTAAGAGGGCACCCGTGAAACTCAGCCTAAGTCTGTGACCATGATTGTGTAGTAACTGGCAACGTATTAGAATAAGAAAAAAGTAAAAAAAAATATCAGTCGTAATTTGAGGAAATGGCGCGAGACAATGAGTGACTTAAGGCTTTGGTCCTAAGCATTGCATGCCAAGAATATGGCAACCCTCATTTAACGTCTTTGTAAATGTAGACACTTTACCAAGAGTGACTATTCTCAACTCCCTTTTATTGTGATCTCGTCTGTCTGGTCTGGCTATGCCCTAGCCTGTTTTTATTTTTATACTCATTCATCACAGAAATTATAAAAGTATCAAACGGGAATTTTCACTGTTTTCACTTTCACGAAAAAAATAGTAATAATAATAATCCCCACGCAAGCCTTATAAAGGACCGGGCCACTTTTGACCCGTGAGCTCCAAAGCGTACAAACATAATAATAATAAATAAAATATTTATTTTCATAAAAAGCTAGGTATAATACAAGGCAGCAGTAGTTATTGCACTAGGCTCGCAGACCTGTGTCGCAATAACTAAAAGTGGGTTTACAATTTTTGAATTATTATTTTAAGTACTGTAGCTCCGTAAAAGACTTTATTAGAAAATTTACTAAAGACTGTAGCACTGTAGTAAAAGACCTATTTCCAAAATGACTTTTATAGAAGTTAATGAAAAAAGGTTTGAAACACTTTTTTCATTAACTTGATTTCGAAAAGTCTTTGTAAACAGCCTTTACGTAACGTGAAGCCCTAAAACTGTTGTATAAAGAGTTTTTATCAGCGTTTGATTGAAACATACGTTGTTAGTTTGTAAATTCACGCGCGTAATTTTCATACTATTCAACACTTTTAATTCCAGATAATCGGTCTCCTGAACGCGTTCACGCCGCAACGCAGCCTGGAGGAGTTCCAGGACGTGTATCTGGTGATGGAGCTGATGGACGCCAACCTGTGCCAGGTCATCCAGATGGACCTGGACCACGAGCGCATGAGCTACCTGCTCTACCAGATGCTGTGCGGCATCAAGCACCTGCATCTCGCGGGGATCATACACAGGGTGAGATTTGATCACAGATTTTATAGTTGTTCCAGGTGTTCCAGCAAATATAACAAAATCAAAATCTATTTTATTCAATTTTGACCACTGGCACTTATGAACGTAAAATACAGTTAAAAAAAGGCAGCCCTTAAGGGGGCACTTTACATGTCTCCTTATCTTTTGGGCCCTACCAGCGCTTCGAGACAAACATATGGCAAGTGCTGAGAAGAAACGCCGGAACAAACTTGGTCATCACTAGTTAGAACTTACATAAAGCACCTGCATCTCGCAGGTGAGATTTTATGATCGCAGGCCTTACATAAATTTTAGGCGTTCCTGATGATCCAACAGTACCTACTTGCATCATTTCTAGAGATGATACACAGGGTAATTTGGAATAGCCACAGGTTTGAGATCAAAACACTGGGTGATTTGAAATGGCCTCAGGTTTTACAGAAGTTTCCAATGTAGGTACAAGGGAATCCAATAGAACTAAATAACATTCCAGTTACAAATCAAATCAAATTTCTTTATTTGCGTAATTCCAGGTACATAAGTGGTTATACCTACGTTTCATTTTAGATTTCACATACACACACTATGTTCCAGGCATCTAAGAGATTCATGAAAACTAAAAATGAGCTCGGTTATCCTAGACGTCAAGCAGCTACTTGAATTTTAACTTATGAGTACCTATTCCAGAAGTTTGAGAAATTACACCTTAACCGTTAAACAACTGACAAGACATGACATGAAAGACAAGACAACCGATAAAGCCTTACAGATAAGAAACAAAGCAAGAAAGTAGGCAGTTTAAATAATACATTAAGTAGAGTCATGTTACAAAGGGAGCATTTATTTTTCCGGCGTTAGACAGGGGCGAGCCGAGAAGGGTGCGAGCATAATCAGAGCACTTCGTTTGCACCCTTTGAGCGTAATGTAACGGGAAACGTGATTACGTCAGCACATTGCACTTTTAATGCAGTGTCAATACCATACACGTAATAGATACGAATCCTTTGAGATTCCCTTTGAGAGACATACTGGTGGATTATTAAAATGCGTTACACATGTAGCTACTTTGTTCGATGTAGTAAACCGATCTGAATGTCAGCGTAAAAAAAGAAAATCGTTATTTGACACCTCAAAAATAAATCTGAATTAAAAGCTAGCTTGACGTTAAAAACTTTGCTACTTATTTCCACCCCTTTACAAATCACAGGCCTTCGTACGCGGTGCGTTTCCGTTGTTACTTGCTATATGAAAGCCGCGTGTGTGTCTTTATTAGTTAGGGGGTTTTCATTTAAGTTTTCCCTTATGGGACTATTCCCACAGCTGAAACTCCTTTGCAGCCAGAATCTACAGCTTGACTGCCAATAAAAACCCAACCAGTTAAAGGCATGTTAACCGCCTCTGTGGTGTAGTGGTAAGACCACCTGCTTCAGACGCAGAGGTCCCGGGTTCGATTCCCAGTGGCGGCAGATTTTTCTGTTCGGTTTGGTTGGTGATAGAGCTTGTTCTAAGTCCGCCTGGCTAGCTACCACCATCTTACCTAAGTCTGTCGCCATAACAACAATGTTATCAGCATTGTTGTGTTCCGGCAGTTAGAGGTAAGATAGCCAGTTCCTCCGTGGTTGAGGATTCCGGATGAAGCTCGCTTCCACCTTCGGCCTGATCATCACTTACCATCAGGTGAGATGCAGGCCAAGAGCTTCCTCGTTGTGGATATCAAAATTCAAAAAATTTATTTTGGAAACAAGAAAATTTGTACATGAAAAAGCGTGTACGATAATAGCCGCAATAGTTTCAGAGAACTGTGGTGCGACTACTAACGCCCACTTCCGTAAAAATATTCCATAAACATACTACTTTAGGCGTGCTGTTTGAATGTGTGTGATGTGTGTATGTGTGTGGTGTGTGTATGTGTGTGGTGTGTGTATGTGTGTGGTGTGTGTATGTGTGTGGTGTGTGTATTTGTGTGTTGTAAGAGTGTGTTGGCTTTAAAAATATAGAACCCAAGTTACCCGTTTAAGAGATTTTCAATCTCCTGATAAGTGAGCGTATGAAGCCATTTATCAATCACAATTTTACATTCACGCAAGGTAAGTTTGTAGATGTTGAGAAGTCTATTAATTTTATTATATAATTTAGGACTCAGGAACCGATATTGTCGACTAGCCACTCCAAGTACGCAGGACTCCAATCTGCACACTTTGTCATGTCTTCGGGTCTTTTCTTCCCGGTTAGATTCGAATACCAGACCAGCGTGTTTCGCGGTCCGCCCGTATTCGGGAATACGCAAGTACTTACTCGAACTCGCGGGAGTCGTAAACAAACTATAAGGCGTCCGGATATGAGCCTTATTGCGTATGCGCTAAGGGCGGTTATTGCGGGCGCGCGTGCTATCGCTGTCCTTTGCGCGCTCGCGCTGTCTCTGTCTTTTTTGGTACTTGCCGAGTGCCGATGATTTATTACATATCTATAGCTATAGTTGCGTATACGTATTTACTGCGGTTTCTTTGATCTTTTTAGGGTTCCGCTCGGCCGATTTGTAGTCGTCCTGCACATACTCCCGCCGTGCAGCGACGGACTCGTCGATGCAGAAAAACAGCTAGCAGGACGGCTGCTGTTTCTGCTCGGTGAAACGGTGACGGAGATAACTGTTACGGTGACGGTGTTGCGGTTCTGTATCTCCCGCCGGTACTGGAGTCTTCGTTCTCCAATTTGTTACTGTAGTTTGGCGTTGTCTATAGAAGTCTGCTGTTGAACGCCGTCTGTCTTTACTTCGCGGTGTTTGGCGTGGTACGGACGATGAGCGGTTCATAATGTTTCTACGCTGTTCCTCTATATTTCTTCCACGCCCTGAAGCCTCCCGCCGGCATGGAAGCTGCGATGACTCCTGTCGGTTTCTATTTGCCGATGACTCCCGCCGGTTTTTCGATGACTCCCGCTGGTTTTGGGACGATCTTCCGTTTCTAATAGCGCCTGACGGATTTCTATTAGTAATTTTATCGACGTGCGTAGGCGAAACTATTGCATTCACTTTTTCTGTAGGCGCAACTGTTTCGTGGTGCAGTAACTTATGGTGCGTTTTCCTGCAGCCATTAACTTTGCACTGTATCCCTGGACATCTATGCGCTCTTGTCCAGGGACGAAGACAGCGGTAGCACAGGCGTTTCTGTCTTGCGATATCCCAGCGTTTACTGCTGATGGCTTTTCTCAGCTTCAAGCAGTCGGTGACGGAGTGGTTGCCGTCGCACACCGGGCACGACGATCTCTGCTGTACTCTCTTCCCTTCTATGTGGAAGACACGCTGGGTATTCTGTTGTTTGCTATAGATCGGTTCGGGAGCGGCGAATTTTGCACACTTCTCGGCTTCGTGCTCGATGAAGCGGCTAAACTTGATGAGGTCCGGTTCCTCCTCTGTGTGCTCCCAGGCGTAGTCATACCAGCGGTATCGTAGCGCTGGAGTTAGCTTGTCGGTTAAACTGTACACTATTTCCGGATTGTAGAGGTAGTGTGTTCGCTCTAGTGCGCGAAGAGTCGCTACGCTATTCTTTATTCGAGTAGCGAACACACAAGTCTGTTGCGGAGAGTCGACAAGTCTCTGTAGTCTCCTCAAACTATCTAACTCGGACAGGGCTATTGAGTCCGGGCGGCCAAAACGCATCTCCAATGTGCGCATAATCTCTTGCGCCTTTGCATTTACTATTAGCAAGGAGGTCACGGCTTCCTTGGCTCTTCCCGTGAGTGACCGCCGGAGTCTCGCTATATTTTCTATTTCGCTAAAGAAACTCGCAGTTTCATTGTAGGCTGCCTTGAAAGCCAGCCAATCATAGTGCGCGCCACTGAAGTTCGGCAATTCTGCCACATACTGTTGTTGCTGTCCGGTCCGCGCTGCAGTTGCGATGGCTGTAGCAAGTTCAGTGAGGTTAATTTTTGATGACGTCGGCTGCGGTACGGTGACGGTTACAGGGGATGGCGGTTGTAAGTCGCCATCTCCTTTCAAAGACGCTGAGTCATCTTCACTATCGGCGGACTCCATTTCTATAAGCTTGCGGTGGGCAATGGCAAGCTCTAATCGTAGGCGGGCTATCTCTGCCTCCGCCTCGGCTAGTCGACGGGCGCAATCGGTATGCGCGAGTGGTGCTCGCGGTGAAGCCGTCGAGTTCTGTCTATCTCCTGTGACGTCTATTTCAACTGGCGATACAGATGGAGGCTCCAGCTGAATTAAATCCTCCTGTGCGGTTACGGTGGACTGTGATGACGTCATGTCTTGCGCTGTCGGTTCCGGTGATGACGTCATAGACGGTGTAGCGGGCTGCGAAGCTTTCGCCTTGCCTTTCCTTGATCTTGTCACAGGCATCTTCTATTTGTGCTATACTATGCCACTTCACGAAGGCCGCTTCGGTGTTCTCGAAGGTTCTATAACTTCGGGATCGGTAGACAACGATCCGGCTCGAAGGACCAGAAAAATGTGCAGGCCTGTTTATTATCCGGCTAAAAACTGTACGGAACTGTCGGAGGCCAGATAACTGATGACTGGAGTGAATGAGCGGAGTGGGCTGTACGGATGCGGTGAACGGAGAGCGGTGGACTGTAG